ACCAAATGCGTGCTGATAAAGATAATTACAGAAAGGTAGATCTCTGTGTTTACCTGGCAGTGGGAAACTGTTTTCACACATAGCCTAAAGGCATAGAAAACAGTTCTGCACTGTTTGAATTAAATTCCAAATATGTAACAGAAAGGGAATCAGCTACAGCGAAAATCTACAGCAAAAGACAGTCACTTTATTCACAAAGAATAATGCCATAAAGCCTTGCTTTTTGGTTTAAACTTTACCGGGGCCCTGGCTCTTATAAGACACTCATGAAAAGATGGCTAAGCAATTATTGTATATTGTTATGGTGTGTCACAATGTTTCTCAGCTTCACTTTGTGTCCCTTTTTATTTCACATAAACATGTAAATTTTCACAGCTACAGAACTATACTTTATACTTCATAGAATGGTTGAGATTATGTTCTAACATTTGCAGATCCCCACTGAAGCATGCCCTGAATTGGCCAGAGAAACTTAGGAACAAGGGAGAGGTTTGTCTGGGTTCTCCCAAACCCACTTAGCTAAGGGTTACTGCACCCCATTTCTTTACAAAGAACAGCTTGCTGGGTTATGGAATACGGTAACTCCACACCATTCCCTGAGCTTCCTCCGGGTTACCAGACTGCACATCCTTTCAGAGTAGAACCTCTTCAGGATGCACAGGGCCTATGAGGCATGTGGGGACCACACAAGGTCTTGTCCAAGGTAGAGGTGATGAGTTGGGTCAGTTCCTAAAAGAATCATCCTACAAAATGGCTTGTGCACCACAATGGCTCTGCCTATGTCTCGCTCAATATTTTTACTAGTAATTTTGGGGACTATTTGCACACTGCAGGCCAGTACCTCAAGGAATTCTCTCAAGTGAGAATTTCTCAAAATTCAAAATTTTTTACATTAAATGTATTGAGTTATGGATTGTTTACAGAAAAACACTGATAATTTAATTGTATTGTTTGATGAATTCTAACAAATATACCTACAATGAAATCCCCATCACAATCAAGATGTAAAATATATACATCACCCCCAAAAGTTCCTTTTACCCTCTCCCCCTCCCACCCACATCCCAGACCCTCATAACCACTGCTCAGCCTTCTGTCACTCTAGATCCATTGTTTTCTAGAACTCCAGAAAAATGGAATTTTTTACTGAGCACGTTTTGATATTTATATATGAAAGAGAGATGTGTGATTTTTATTCCATTTTGGAGGCATTGAAAACACCAAATTTGCTTCACCTGTGTGGGGTAACTTGTAGTTTGGAGTTAGGAAAAGCTGACTTGAATTCTCGTGCACTGGTCTTTTGGCAGATTTGGGGTTTTGTTTGCTTGTTGGTTTTGTTTTTGTTTTTGGTTGTTGTTGTTGTTGTTGTTGTTATAGACATGTTTTTACTGAGGGAGTAAGCAGAAGAAAGTGCAAAGCTAAAAGTGGTGTTGGTATTTCTCATAATGAGCATGCCTTATAACTTCATTAAAAGCCAGCAAACTACTTTCCAAATCCTTGTGCCGTCTCGCACTCTAGTCAGGAAGGTGTGTGCTCTGGTCGCTCCACACGCTCACCGCCTCTTGGTGCCGTCTACCGCAGTCTTCGGTTTTACACACTGTGGTGGTTGTGCCTGTGCCTCCGCGTCCTTTCCTGCACACGGTCCTGGTTGCTGAGGTTGAACGCCTTCCCTGTGCTCTAAGTACCTTCCTCCTTGACTCAGTTGTGCTGGCTAATTCAGTGTCACCAACTCTGGTGAATCCTCCAGCCAAGAGAGCTGCAGAGCATCCTTGTCGGTTACTAGAAAACTCTTCTGTTTCTCCTGACGGTTCACTCTTGACAATACGTTACTTAGCAACTCTTCCTTCCCTCCCATCTTAGGTTGAGATTACCAAACAAGGAAATGGAACCTGGGACACCAAACACTGCTGCTCAGCCAAATGCATAGGAGCCTACTTGATACAATCCCATCCACCAGTTTGTCCCGTAACCTCTCACGACACTCTCCAGAATTCTTATTTTGTTATTCAATTCCATGTCTTGCTGAATTGCTATCTCATCCATAGGAATTCATTGCCTAGATATTAAAAAAAAAAGCAAAAAAAAAAATCTTGGTTTTCCTTGATCCTGTGTTCTTGCACAGATCAAAAAGTGCTTTTAAAGCTGATCTTATTCTTTTTTCTTTTGAGAGATTCAGTCTGGGTGAAATTTGTTCCATACTTCCGAGAAGTCATTTCATGGGAACCCAAAATTTCATCCCTAGGACATTCTGAGATTCCGCCCCCAACCTCCTGCCCTTGTTGCCGATGTAAAACAAACCTCACTTGACCTGTGTCTTATCTCCACGGAACAGTCAGAGTACTGTTTGAGTTTGTCATTGCATCTATTAACTTTAAAAGAACACATGTCTTGGTTCAGTAAAGATTTATAGAAACACAGATAAAAGGAATTTTGAGTTGAGATGTTTATGCCTCCAGCTCTCTTTTTTCTCCTTTTAATGATGGTGAAGGATACTGGCTTTTCTTCACTCTTTAGAATGTCCTTGGGGATGCTCCGGCAGGGGTACTGACAAGAAGTCACCATTGTGCTGACGCTAGGCAGGGGATCTTTATGAGGTCTGGATGCCTTCCACCCTTTGCCTGATCTGCCCGGAGATGCATCAGTTCCTACCCTGTCACTGCCAAAAAGAGCTCACTTCAGCCAGCACACTACTTGTGCTAGACATGACTTAGGAAGGCTGGACCCAGGCTAGGCTGCCCAACCCTACACCCTTAACAACACCACAGTCTGGTGCCTAAGTAGCAAGGGTAATGAGTTCTGGGACACTCAGTTCTAGCTGCTTCCTAGGAACTTTCCAAAAGAGAGGAAGAAAGCTTAGGCATAAAAATCAGACTTTTTCAGATGAGAAGTTAGCCTTTCCAGTGATTCTCAACAGCCTTCCTATCAATCAATAAAATAATCAACATCCATAAATTATTCAGAAGCAGTCAAAAATCCCAAAAAGATATTCTTCATTGTCGTGTTCTCTTGGAGAGTTTTAAGAAAGATTAAATTATAGGTGATAATTAAGACATTTTAATATGGTGCTCTGTAATAATTCTATTAAAATGCTCTAAACCCACATCCTCCAAACCTTCTTTGTTTTTGCTTGGTTGGTTTTTTGTTTTGTTATGTTTTTTTTTTTGAGACAAGGTCACACATTGTAGTCCAGGCTGGCCTTAAACTCACACTTCTCTTGCCTAGGTCCCCTGAGTACTGGTTCTGCAGATGTGTGCTGCTATGCTCAGTTCCCAAATATTTCTAATGTGCACTTTAATCATTAGTATGTTTAAGTGCAGGTGTATGCATGCCATTGTGTGTGTGCATATGTGTGTGTGTGTGTGTGTGTGTGTGTGTGTGTGTGTGTGTGAGTCAGAGGGCACCTTTTGGAGTTGGTTCTCTCCTTCCACTTTTACATGGATTCCAGAGATCAAACTTAAGTCTTGGGGCTTCCACCATGACAGCACACAGTCCAGGGATGGAGATATGTAAGGAGACTTGTGAGTGCTTGTGGGAACTCTCCAAGAGAACAAGACAAGAGTCTTGTGACTTCAGTTCCTTCAAAAACACGGAATTGCTCTTGGAATGTGTTTTCATTACCCTCCCCAGGGTACAGATAGGAGTGAGTATATATCAGATTACACCTTACTGCTTGCTGCTGTTGTTCAATTAAATGTTTAAACTATGCCATGGAAAAATATGGCTTTTTGCCACGTAGCACATGGCACCTATCCTTGTGATTGTACAGTTTGAAAGCATGAGAGCTTTACTCACATGACCTTTTGTAACTCTGAGCTAAGCTGGCTGTTGCACAGGCCTCGTGTGTTGGCTCCCTTCTCCCAGGTCCCACCGCCTTTGGAGTGGTGGCAGAATGGCAAGGGCTTTGATAGACTAAGTCACCTTGCTGGTCCCCCCAGATTCCAAATCTATAGATGTTAAATTTAAAACACTAATATTCCCTAATGTGTTTAGATTTGTTGATTTATGAATTGTGGATATTAATACTGTACTAAAATGTTCTTGAGAAAATGTGCACAAATATAAAACATATTAGGGGTCGGAAGACAGCTCAGTTGATAAGTGCTTGCTATACAAGGGTGGGATCATCAGCTCCCACATAAAAAGCCAAGGGTGGCAGTGCACACCTATTATTCTTGCCCAGGATAGACAGAGAAAAACTGGATCCCTGGAGCTCTCTGCCCAGCTAGCCTAGAAGAATCAGTAAGCTTCAGGTTCAGTAGAGACTTTGCTCAAAAATATATGGAGAGTGTGAGGAAGACCCCCACCATTAACCTCTGACCTCCACATGCATATATATAGATACATATATATGCATATATATACACATATGTGTGTGAACATGTATATACACACACGAACAAAATGGGGAAAGCATCTTATAGAATAAAATAACCTGATCTTGATTTTAAAAGTTCTTCATGAGAAAATAAATAGATATTTTCTTACCTAATTCACCATGCTTGCTTAAGAACAAAACCTTGAGCAATACTTACACTGAAGTCGGGTACAGACCAGACGACACTGTCCCTCCTGTTACTTAATAACGTCCTAGCGGTATTTGCTCTAATGAGCAAAACAACTAATGAAGACGGGTGTAACGGTGTACAGAGTGCAATGAATGCCAATCTGAGTCTGCCGGAATCAGAGTATATGTGGGAAAACCTGAGCGACTAACTGCAAAACTATTTTCAACTATAACAGGATTCATTAATAATGTATAAAATAGTAGCCATCACAGCTAGATAGCAGACGGCCTGGTGTAGAATGCCTCAGTTAGCATAAGCTAAGCAAAATCAAATATCGAAGAATAAACAACAGGATAGCAAAAATTGAAGGACTCCAAAGGTTTGAACAAACAGAAATACATGCTATACTTTGACAAGAAAGACAGCGTTTTATAGACTATGCACGCCCTGCAATTTCAAACCAAGAACCAAGCCTGTTTTTGTTTTAATTTTCAGGCGGAAAGTATACAAGAAGAATCGTGAGAATACTGAAAATGTCAAGTCAAAGAATGTGGCGAACTACAAAGACTAGATAGTGAAAATAAAGCGTGTAAAACTGTGGTCCTCAAAGACACTGTGGGTGCACAGATGTGTTGATGAGCTGGGATTTTACAAGCTTGAATGTATGTATACTTTCAAAGGCACATGCTAATTTACCATATGGTAAAAGTGGTACATAAGAGAGTTGTTCAACAAATAAGCTCTTGGGGGATTGGGGTGGGGTAGAAGAGAGCCAGGGCGAGCTATAAGAATGTAAAGCAACTGAGTTAGATCCTGTTTATTCCGTAAGAGTCAGGAGCATCTCACGCTTCCCCTACCGCCATGATGTTCATAGGTCCACTGGGGAACAGTGATTGTGTCTTTGCTCATTACATTCCAAGCACTCCGTTTGTGTCAGGACACAGCAACAATGATGTGTTGCGAGCATACACGACACAGGAGCTGATCAACAGAGGTGATAGGTACGTAGGCTAGCTCTGCACATAGCAGCAGAAAAATGACAACTAAGATGGAAAGCAAGACTTTGGAGAAATGAGGATGGGAGTGAGGAGAACGGTCTAGCTCGACACACTCACAGGAACCTTCTAGGTGTGGCTCAACTTGAAGATACAGAAATGCCGATACTAGAGAATGATGGAGATCTCATCACAGAGATACCTGACGTGTCATCGGAGAGGGGCAGAGCGTCCCTGCAGTAGCACCAACGAGGGGCGCATAGCCGTGTTTCTGCACGATCTCAACCAAGACTTGTGCCTCTTGCCTCCAGCTCTTACCGTTCGCATAACATCAAGTGCCGAACAGAAATACACTTTTCAAAGCCCCGTAGGGGCCCAAGCAATAACTGTTCTCTGAGCTGAGCCTTATTTGTGACAAGCACTCACTTCACTCTGGCCACCTTTTACTTCCACGGGAGCCCTGGGTGGCACAGACCAGACAGACTCAGTAAGAGTTTCCATACTTTTGATCAAAGAAAGTTAAGTCTGGGAGCCGCAGACTGGCTGATTGGCATCTTCTTGATGCTCTGTCCAAGCGCAGGTGAAGGAAGCAGCTTTGCCTGCAAACCTCCTGCTTCATTTGTGTTCAAATTGCCAGACAGTGATGATAGGCATAGGGCCAGGCAGAAAATGCCCGTGTTCCTGGATGAAGCACCCACACCAACAGGTCAGGAGACAAGCTCTTAGGTCCCTGTTGTGGAGAAACAGGGCCAAGGGTTGGCAGTACTGAGCTAGCAAACACAGCACTGTCAGCTGAAGTCTGATGAGATAGCAGCCTGGCCAAGATATTACTGTATGGCCTAGTGCGAGGATAATCCACGCTGCTCAGGGAAGGCAGCTTGTCTATTTGGGTGGGGGAAGTAGGTAGGATCAAGAGCATAGAACATAGGAACATAGCTGCTTCATCGCTAGCATCCATCGATCTCTGAGACTTATGGGCTTCTAGCAAATGGTAGCACGGTGTAAAGGAGAAAGGGGCACACTAGACTGGAACCTGATTCAGATCCAGACCTTGCACCTTGCACGTGATGCTTGGATGAACTTGGGTAAGTGACTCTTGAGCTCTTTAAAAAGTGGGGATGCAAATCTTCACCATGAAGGATTTTGTTGAAAGATAACTAACTATACATAAAGTAATTGACACCTCCAAATGGGTGGCATCTTCCCAGCCTTCCTCCCCGAGGGACAGACTTTCTTCAGGCCCCCTAGGAACTCCACATGTCCCCCACTTGCTTTCTACCTCCATGCCCCCGGTCCCCTGCTAACGTGACTCACACACAGGAACTTAGCAGAACACATTGACTGTCCCCTAGATCCTGCTTGTTTACATAGATGTCTTTGGAAACACTCAGCAAATGGGCTCACTGCCCAGTGTCCCAGAAGGGGTTAGTAACAGCACAGGGCTCCCCAGGAGCCTCAGGAGATGAGCCCTCTTGCACACCACTGCCCCAGGAATGTGCCTCACACTCCCTAGCCAGTTAGCTGCTGCCAGTTTTTGTTAACTGAGTCTCAGGGGAACTTGGAAGAAACTCAAAGAAGGAACTCCCCCAAAAATGCTTTGCACACCCAGGCTCTTTTAATCCCCATGGGCCGTGATCCCAATTGTCCAGATGATCGAAAACAAACCGAGGTTAGATAAGTCGCACGCACACTACCAGAGCTAGAGACTGCCAGAGCCAGGGGCCACGGGCAGATAGCCTGCAATGAGATGGGGAGAGGAAAGGGTTGAGATAAAAATGCAACGCTCTCCAGAGTCTGTGTGCCTGGTAGAACTTGTGGGGCTTGGCGTTCATTCTCTGTACTCACAAACTAGGCCCCGAGCACCCTCCCCAGCACCCACCGTTCCCCCTTTGCAACAAGTTCACTTAGCTCTCCTCATTTCTCTCTTCTCTTGCTTACTTTCTTTGCCCATCTAGACGCTGAAAACCTCCATTCTAGCCCACAGAAGTCTGAAGCCTGGACAGGGACTTTCTAGGGACTGGCCTCTGCCTTGGACGTAGGAGTCCTTGGAGGGGGCCAACCCAGCGTCTCCAAGAGGCAAGGGGATCCTGTTCAGGGCGGATTCTGCTAACTGTGCCTCTGCGCAACACTCTGACTTTGCTTCCCTTGGGGTGTTTTTGGATTTTCTCAACAATCCAATAAGCTGAGCATTACTAGTTCAGTTGTCTTGGTGCTCAGGGAAGAGGACCAAGAGGAAACTTGATAGCCATTGCGGAGTGAGTGCCTTACTGGGAAATTCTGAACTGCCTCCCATATGATTCAAGGCTGGTTAGCTCTGTGTGCCTCCCAACTCTTAAGACTTGACTGAGTCTTTAGCAAGTAACTCAGTGTTCAGGACCAGGTTGTGTTCTTCTATCTCCTGAGATAGTCTAGAGCCAAACGGAAACCACACGTCTTCAATCTTGCATCCAAAGCATCAGGAATAAAACCTGCGGCAGAGCAGGAACCAGGTAAAAAATTCTTACGGAATTAGAGTGGAAAGTGAGTTGATCACAACGAGCACTTCTCACAAACAGGGCTTGGGAATGACGGGCGGGTTGTGAACAGGTAGGGGCAGAGGTACCTTGGTCTTGTCAGCCCGATTCTAGATCCCATACCTGGGGACCACAGCCTCACCTCCTAGCATCTCTCCGGATAACAGTGCCCCAAGAGGTTTCCCTCTTTGTCACTAAGTATTCCAGGCCAGCACATCCCACTGGAACCAAAGTGTGCAGTTACTTTCCTTGTCTCAAAATTGAGTTTGACAAATGACAGGTAATTTTGAGCAACACTTAAAAGCCAAGTGTCATGGAGCACTTTGTAGATGTCATTTCAATCCTAACTGTTGCCCTGCAACAATAATCTCTTGTTTAAGGTTGTCCTTTAAGACTTTAGCCATTTGAAACTGTCTTTATTTACAAAGTGGAAACTTTATTGATTTCTACCGTAATTTCTGTTGCTTCCTTTCCCCTTCTGAATTTAGATTTACTGTAGTTCCTCTCTGTAAGGTCATAAGTAGAATCTAGTTATTAATTTGGATCTTCATTCTTTTCTAATGAATGCATCAAAATTTGTAGATTTCTAATTTATTTAGATTTGTCTATTTTATTTGTGTTTGCCTTTGTGTATCCATATGCTTATTTGGTGCCCTGAGAGAGTCCCCTAGGTTGGGAATTACAGATATCTGTGAGCAACCTAAATTTGAATGCTGGAAACCAAACCCAAGTCCTCTGCAAAAGCATTAAGTGCTCTTGACAACTGAGCCATCTCTCCAGCCTTCACTACAATTCTGTCCATTTGCCTGCAAATTTCAAAATGTCATTTTATACTGCTGAATAGTACTCCATTGGGTAAATGTACCACATTTTCTTTATACATTCTTCAGTTAAGGGGCATCTAGGTTGTTTTCAGATTCTGATTATTATGAATAATAATTCATAAATAAATTATAATTAAACATAGTTGAGCAAACGCCCTTGTAGTGTGGTGTGAGTGTGTCTCCTTTGGGTATATGCCAAAAGTGGTATTGTTGGGTCTTGAGGTGGACTGTTTTCTAATTTTCTGAGAAATCATCATACTGATTTCCAAAGGGGCTGTACAAGTTTGCACTCCCACCATCAATGGAGGAGTGTTCCCTTTACCCCACATCCTCTCCAGCATAAGCTGTCATCAGTGTTTTTGATCTTGGCCATTCTTGCAGGTGAAAAATGAATCCCAGAGTTGTTTTGATTTGCATCTCTCTCATGGATAAGGATGTTGACCATTTCTTTAAGTGTCTTTCAGCCATTTTAGATTCTTCTATTGAGAATTCTCTGTTTAGATCTGTACCCCATTTTTTAATTGGATTATTTGTTCTTTTGATGTCTAGTTTATTGAGTTCTTTGTATATTTTGGAGATCAGCCCTCTGTCAGATGTGGGGTTGGTGAAGATCTTTTCCCATTCTGTGGGCTGCCATTTCATCTTGTTGACTGTATTTTTTGCTTTACAGAAGCTTCTCAATTCCAAGAGGTCCCATTTATTGTTTCTCTTGGTGTCTGTTCTACTGGGGTTATATTTAGGAAGTGATCTCCTGTACAAATATGTTCAAGGCTACTTTTCACTTTCTCTTCTATGAGGTTCAGAGTGGTTGGTTTTATGTTGAAGTCTTTGATCCATTTGGACTTGAGTTTTGTGCATTCTTTTACATGTCGACATCCAGTTATACCAGCACCATTTGTTGAAGATTCTTTTTTACATTTTATACTTTTTTTGCTTCTTTGTCAAAAAATAAGGTGTTCGTAGGTGTATGGGCTAATAATAGGGTCTTCAATTAAATTTTTTGGTTCATCTGTCTGTTTTAATGCCAATACAAAGCTGTTTTCATTACTGTAGCTCTGCAATAGAGTTTGAAGTCAGGGATAGTGATGCCTCCAGATGTTTCTTTATTATAAAGGATTGTGTTGGCTATCCTGGGTTTCTTAATTTTTCCATATAAAATTTAGTATTGTTCTTTCAAGGTCTGTGAGAATTGTGATGGGATTTTGATGATTATTGCATTGAATTTGTTGATTACTTTTGGTAATATTGCCATTTCTACTATGTTAATCTTCCATGAGCATG